TTCCTGACGAACTGCATCACGGTTGTATCTCCCCCACCACCACCCTCAAGAATAAACCAACAGGGTGGGAAACACATCATAAGGCAAAGAGCTTTTTTCATTTTCGTTTTCCTCACCATGTGACATTTTCCATACTATACGCAAGACCTGATGTGAACGTTATTTCCTAATTCATGACACTATGCCAGAGACACAACGGAGCTACTTCATCTTGATGGTGGCCCCACTTCACAGCTGTTCTTTATTTGTAACTTAATTTGCCCAGTGGCAACTCAAAGCAGCCTGCAACGGCATTTCCCCCTCCCCCATTTCCCCCTCACAACAACCATTTGAGGTAGACCATACTCAAATAGATTGTGTAATTGTGGATCAGGTGCAATAGAGACCTTAGATCATCTTATGTTATTTTGCCACCAATGGATTGACCCCAGATCCTGCTGGATTACTCCTATTTTACAAAGATATCACCTCCCTATGGAACCCTGGGTGATAACCATACTAATAGCTGATGAGGACCCTGAAACGACTCGCTTGGTGGCAAAATATCTTTCAATAGTGCTATTTTTAAAGCGGCTTTGAAATGTTATGAGTACCTTTTGTATACAATTTTAAAATTTTAAAACTAATTTCCATAATATCATGGGATTTTATAGAATTCATTGAAGTTTATAAAATGTGGTCTGATGTTACTGATTGAGAGCATGTTTACTAGCTTTTATTGTAAAGGCGTTCTGTCTAAATTTCTTGTAATTTTATGTAATGCATTTTATACTTGTTGTTTGCATGTTTGGCTTAAGACCTCGGGTCAATGAAGCTAATAAATGAAATGGAAAAAATGAGGTAGACCAGGATGAAAGAGAGTAACTGCCCCAAGGTCTCCCAGGTACTAGTCCAGTGGTGGCGAACCTATGCCCATCGCCCCAGACCATCATTAAAGTGTCGAATTCTCTGCCAAATAATTTTAAGTAAATGAAAGCATTTCGGATTGCTTTCCTTACTTTGTTTGGATCATCTTAAGTTAATGTATGGGTTGTTTTTTCTAAAGTAAAACCTCAGTATTCAGGTTAAATTGCCGTGTTGGCACTTTGCGATAAATAAGTGGGTCTTGGGTCGCAGTTTGGGCACTCGGTCTCTAAAAGGTTCGCCATCACTGTACTAGTCTATCCACTAATCTGACAAAAGGGAGCTTGAACTCTCAAAAGCTAATATCCTGCCAATCTTCCTTGTCTTTAAGGTGCTCCTAGACTTGAATCTTGCTCTTCTCACCACTATGCCACACTGGCTTGGCTGCTTCTCCTCTCTCCAGGTCGAAACTGACTTTGGGTCTGAAATCCTAGTGCCTGCATCAGTCAGATGTACAGCAACTGCTGCACCCAGCTTACTTCTGTTGCAAAGAACCACGCAACTGTACACTGGAAACTAGGCAATGTCACCTTCAAAACAGCCTTCTCTTTAACAACAGCTTCACCAGTGGCAAGCAGCTCGTAATGTTCAGATCCTTGCCAGGGAAAGTTTCGCGTATTGATTTCTAAATATCAGACTTCTAAAAGTTGGAGGGCCCATGGAATGGAGCCACCTTGCTGAACCTAGGAGAGGCAGACTTAGTCTGGTCCTGGATGGAAAGGAGACACAATGGAATGTTCCACAATGGAACAAAGGTGGCCGATGAAGGCAAAAGACAGATGATAACCAGGAACATTCCAAAATGTGATCCAGCAGGATCCCCCCCCCCCGCAGTCTGAAGGGGCACAGTTAATATATTCTATTAGTTCAATTTATATCCCCCACCCTCCCTGCCGAAGCAGGCTCAGGGAGGCTTCCATAAAAGATTCATCCACCACTTCATTCCTCTGCACATGGGATGGGGCTGTGGCTCAGGGGTAGAGAATCTGCTTGGCATGCAGAAGGTCCTAGGTTTGATCCCCGCCATCTCCAGTTAGAAAGGACCAGGCAGTAGGTGATGAGGAAGACCACTCCTTGAGACACCAGAAGAGCCACTGCTAGCCTGACCATGGTGGATCCATGGTCTGATTTGGTATAAGGCAGCTACACACACACGTATAGAGTGGGAGACACACAAATATGCACCAGTGTTGTAGACGAACTTGTCTGACTGGCTGTTTTCCTTTGAGCTTTACACAGGGCTGTAAAAAGACCTCTCTTATGGGACCACTGGGCTTTTTGCCCTAACTCTGTCAAAACAACCTTCTCTCTTTCTTTCAAATGTGTCTGCCAGCAACATGTATCTGCTGCAAAGGGCTCCAGCTCACCAAAACATATGCCACAACTCCTGGTCTCTGTGATTCCACAAGGCTCTTTAAACTCATTCCCTGGTTCGTTGGGGACAGAGAGATGCCTCCGCAAGATTGCATCTCACTGGTATGTGGCAATGCCAGACATACAGACCCACCGAACCAGTGGAGGAATGCTTCCATTTGCTTCTTTTGAGAAGTCAACATTCCACCACTGTTCAAACTGAGCACCCTCTGTGCGGTTTTTATTTTTATAATCTGCTTTCCTGCAGAGGAGAAAACACTCATTTTAGCACCACCCTCTCTGCTCTGCTGACCTGACCCCAGAAGTTTGCATTCCCTTAGGGGGAGGGGTCCTTTTGTTGCTGCGCACCCCCCTCGGCACTCTTTGTTAACAGAGATCAGGAATGCAAGACGTAGGTGGGCAGTTTTATTTCCTTTGGAATATTTTAATGGTTTGCCACACACACCCTTCAAAGCCACCTTGCTAGATCAGGAGAGGCTTACGAGAAAACAAAACAAAAATATCGGCTCTCTCTTTCAAACATCAGTCTCCAGCGCCCTTCCGACATTTTGATACGTGCCATCTGTTGGCCGTGTTTTCCAGCACTCCTCTGGTTTTCTCATCTAGGCAGCTCGCGCTAACAGGTGGTTGGTCTTCCCTCCCTTCCTCCCAGCTATTTCGCAGAAAAACACAACAGAAGAAAATCTGTTTTGCACCACACCGGCGGAAGTGATGGTCGTTCGCAGCCTCCACACCTCCAGCCCCTAGCGGGGAAATCACAGCACAGGCGCAGAGCGACACAAACTTCCAAAGGGGCGCCTGCTGTTTTCCCGCAATACGGCGGCCGGCGCAGCCTCCCATTTCCCCCTCGGGGGAAAAGTCCCAGAACCCTCCAGGGTCGCGGGGAACCGGCGCTGCATGGAGCGGACGGAACGCAAAACGAGCTCTCCCTTTGAATACAACCCAGACGCCGACTGACTCCCGCCCGATCCCACTTGTGCGTGTTTGCGCATTCACACCCAAGCGCGCGCGCGCCATACTCCAGCCGCGTCTCCAACTTTCCGTGCAAGGATTCCGCCTTTGCGGACTGCAGAAGCCTCTCCCGAAGAGCCGCGCGGAACTCCAGTCCGGTCGCCGGCGCATCCAGGCCGAGCTCCCCCATCCCCCCGCCCGCGCTCCTGCCCCACCAGCCACGGTCTCCACGCAAAGTTCCCCGCCGCGCCCCGGAGCCACTCACAGCCTCCTGTCCTGCGGCTCCAGCTGCCGATGCATGGCCAGGGAGAAGCCGAAGAGGCTCCCGGGCTCGCCGCTCCACACGACCACGTTCCCCGTGTCCAGGTTGAAGGCGGAGGCCAGCCCCAGGTGGCAAAGGAGCGGCAGCAGCAGCATCTGCCCCGGAGATCGCGCCATGCGTGCCTGCCCAGCCGGCCGGAATCCCGCGGGAGGGGAGCAAAGGAGGACGACGACAAGCGGACTGGCGGGGCGCCCCTCTCCCGGCTGGCCACTGCCCGGCGCTGCTCTCCCTCTCCCCCTCGCTGCCACAGGCTGAATGAGCCCGTTGTTCTCTCCTGAGACTCTCCCGGGCTTCGCACCAAGTGACGAGCGCGCAGCCCCGCCCCGTCTCTCCCCGGCCGCCCGGCCTCGCCTCGCCTTGCCCAGCCCTACCCGACCTTGCCCTGCCTGCGGCGGCCCTGACTCCCCGTCGAGCTTGTGGCTTCGGGGAACCGAGCCAAGCCGGCTGTGAAAACCACTCACGAGGCTCGGAATGCCCTCCAGGTACGCGCTTTTGACGTCTGGCGGGGCGGGTGGGAGCGTCATCTGACTCTGGCAAACCCGGAACGTGGCTGTGATTTGGAGGTGTGCCTGAGCGGGGCGTCACCAAGCAGTGACTGACCCGTGGCACTCGCTCACACACGCCTGTTACCTCGAAGTGCCTTGCCATGAGGCCCCACCACCACCACTCCGGCGAGCCCTGGCTGCCGCGTTTACACAGGAGTCTGACTTGGACTGAATCAGACACCTTTGGTCTAGCAAGGTCCCTCTTGTCTACTCTGACTGGCAGTGGCACTCCTGCGTCTCAGGTGGAAGCTTTGACATCACCTGGCTGCTGCCTGATCCTGGGACTTTCTGCAGGCAAAGGGAGTGCTCTCCCACTGAGCCATGGCCCCTCCAGAGATGACGGCATATTGTACAGAACTATATAACATCGTAGAGCCAGTAATTGTTACTGTTATTATCCTACTAGCCTGATACCTGTGCTTCCCTATGGTATTTAAATTCCATCAATCCAGTTATAATATTGATGCTGTGAAGTTGGAAATGTAACATTTGTTGTAGGAATTCTAATGGAGAAGATTGTAGTGTAAAAAATGAAGTGAGACATACCTACTGGTTTTTTCCTCTACTGAAAGACCTCTCTGTAGACCACGCTGGTGATTCTGCCCTCAGGTGCTAGGATCACCAGGCTGCTTGGTGAGCTCACTCTGGAGCAGGCCACATAGAATTGTCCATGTGAGAAGCAGTTGTCTGATAAGTCAATTCCTGCCTCCTTCAGTGTCTGGCCTTGGGACTTGCTGATGGTCATAGCAAAGCAGACCTTGAGAGGGAACTGCAGCCTCTTGAAGGGGTTTTCTGATGGTATGAGTGGTACGCGTGGTATGAACACCAACTCTTCCCGAGCACAGTTGGTGAGCAGTGTGGCCTCAGTGATGTTCCTTTGCAGTCTGGTGCTATTGCAGAGTTTGAGTGGTTGAGTTTCTGCAGCAGCATTAAAGTATCCTGTCCCTACTCCTACACCTGACGAACATCCGCCAGTCTGATGTAAGGGGTGAGATTGTGTTTAAAGGCATCGGGGAGGCTGGGCCAGCAGCAGCGCTAAGACAGTCCTGCTGAGCAAGCCTCCCCAATGGCTTTAGGGGCTCTATGCCCCTTCCAACCCTTGACAGGCAGTTGTTTATCACATGTAGGAGGGGTAGCATGCCTGAAGGCATCAGGGGGCTGGGCCAGCAGGATTGCTAAGGCGATGCTGCTTGGGCAACCTCCCCGATGGCTTCCAGTGCTCTGCACCTGACGGACAACTGCCTGTCAGATGGAGGAGGGGTGGGTGGGAGTGTGTCTAAAACCATTGGGGAGGCTGGGCCAGCAACATTGCTAAGGTATTTCTGCTCGGGCGGCCTCCCTGATTGATTAAATTACCCTGGCCCAGCTCCTACACCTGACAGACACCCACCTGTCTGGTGTTGGAGGGGAGTGTGTTTAAAGGTATCAGGGTGGCTGAGTCAGCAGGAAAGCTAAGGCAGTCCTGCTGAGCAAGCCTCCCTGATGGCTGTAAGTATCCCACCCCCTCTCCTATACCTGACAAGCAGCTGCCTGTCCAGTTGCGGTATTGCAAACCATTGTGGAGGCTGGGCCAGCAGGATTGCTAAGGCATTACTGCTGGGGTGGGCTCCCTGATGGCTTTAAGCACCCTGCCCCTACTGCTGCACCTAACAGGCAGCTGCCTGTCAGGTGTAGGAGGTGGGGGGTGTTTGAAATCATTGGGGAGGCTGGGCCAGCAGCAGTGCTGCACCTCACAGGTGATTGGCCATTCCTAATTTCCTCAACTGTCATTTGCTCTCTGCAATCTCCTGTAACTGTTTTTTTTTTTAACCTCAGAACACTGAGCTCTGCAGCTGACCAGTCAGAGAGTGGGGGGTGCAAGGAGGCAGCAGCCTGGCAGCCACATAGGAAACAATGGGAGGAGCACATTTTACCCCTTTTGACTCCCTTAAGGGGCAAATTTCAAAGAATCCCTTCTTAGTGAGCATCTGCATCATGGTAGGAGTGTTCTCCCCAAATTTTGTGTTTCTAGGTACAGGGAGTTGGCCTGGGCGTTGATTTTACAGTGAAGGGGACTTTACAGTGAAAAGAAAAGAGGTGCCAGAATTCTCAAGAGGAAGTTTTCAATCTGTATACTGAAAACTCATGAACTTTTAAACTTTTTAAAAAGAATTTTGTCAAAGAGGTTCCAGTGTGTTCTCCCAGAAAAAAAAGCCTTGTCGTATGGCATTGTGTGTAGAATAGCCAAGAGAGCCTAAGATTGTATGGCAATCAGATGTTCTAGCTCTTTAGCATTATGCAGCACTAGGTGGCAAGCTAGACTTTTGTTTTTAAGGCAGGAGATGATTCAGAGGTGGTTTGCCATTGCCTGCCTCTGCGTCACAACCCTGGTATTCCTTGAAGGTCACCCTTCCAAATACCAGCCAAGGCCGACCCTGCTTAGCTTCAAAGATCTGATGGGATCAGGCTAGCTTGGGCTATCTAGGTCAGGGCAGTGTGGTGTGGTACGGTGGTTAAGTTTGAGTCCCTGCTCCCACCACGGAAGCTCACTGGGTAAACTTGGGCCAGTCACACTCGCTCAGCCTAACCTACCTCACAGGGTTGGTCTGAAGATAAAATGGGGGAGAGGAGAATTGGGTAAGAAGTTTTGGGTCCCTGTTGGGGAGAAAGGCAAGGTATAAAAGAATTAAATAAAATTAGATCATTGGTCTATCAGCCAGTCTCCAGGATCTTCCACAACACCTACTGGAACTGGAGACCACAGGATTTGAACCTGCATGTAAAGCAGGTGCACTACCACTCAACCATGATGACCCCAGCTCTTATACTTTGTGGTTGGTACCATATCTGTTTTGCCCTTCATGTGTATTCAGTGTAAAGAAACCAGTGCATTCCAGCAGCTGTTTGGTGTGATCCTTTTTAGATCTGCTTTTAAACAACAGAAGAAAAGGCTCACCTGTGTTCAGGCCTGCAGCCACCAGGGGGCATTTGGTGGCAATGCCCCCCACAGATGAGTGCCAACCCCTCAGACAAAAAACCAAAAAAAATATTTTTGAAAAGTAAGATACACGTGGGGCTTCCAAAATGACCCCAGGCACCGTCAGGGAAGCTTTGGTCTCATTTTCTTTTTTCCGGGCTAAAAAATAAATAGGTTTTTAAAAATGCGAAATAAAATAAAATTGCACAATGAAAAGAGAGAGAGTCGGAGATTCCCCCCTTCCCTGGCTTACACAGAAAAGCAGCCCAGAATTGAGTCTCTCCAGTCGAAAGGACTGGAGGACTAGAGGTCGCAGCGTAGCCGGACCTGCTTCTCCTGCTGCTGCAAGAGGAGCAGCAGATGCAGTCAGGGCACACACACACACACCGAATTTCCCCATGCCCCACCAACCAAAATTTTCTAGCTACGCCTCTGCCTCTGTTACTGGACTGTACACCACATCTGATGGGGGGGGGTCACAAAAAAACCCCACATTCTGATTGTAGAAAGCAGGATGAGAGGAAGAAAGATTTGATCTAGCCTAACCTGCTTCCTCATATTCCAGTTTTCCATACGCAGCAGATGTTTTTGTGTGTGGAAACAGTCAGTCTTGTATGTCCCCACATGCCACCTGAAGTGGCACAGCCCAGAAACAGGTTGCCCTTTCCCATCCATTACTTGTGGCAATGAGGCCATAATAAGTCCCTAAGTGGCTCTTACTTCCCAGCCTTCTGCATCCTTTCTTCTGTAATATATGGCTTTAAAAGTAGGTTAGACAGATCCATGGAGAGAGTTGCCACCCTCCAGGTGATGGCTGAAGAAAATGACCGCTTTGGGAGGTGGACTCTATGGCATCACACTCCACTGAAGTTCCTCCCCTTCCAAACCCTCTCCTCCTCACACTCCACCCTCAAAATCTCCAGGTATTTCCCAACCTGGAGCTGACAACCCTATCCATGGAAGATAGGTCCATCAATGGCTACTAAGCCATGGTGAGCCTCCATAGTCAGGGGCTATGAATCCCAGTGCTCGGAGGCAACATGGAAGGGGAGGTCTCGGCCTGTATGCCGTATGCTTGCCCTCCATAGTGTTAGATTCACTGGTATGGTAAGCCAGGGACCTGTATCAATTTAGCAGAGTGCACAAACAGGATACAGGCAGCAGAGCTGCTTTGTTCTGCATCTGCTAGCTTTCACACGCACTAAATAACATGTTTCCAATGCACTTTGTTAACTGGATTTTATTGTGTGAAATGGCAAAATCCATTTGCAAATGGTCGCTGAAGTGGATTGGGCATTATTTAGCATGTGTGAAAGTGTCACCTTACACAGCGGCCACTTGTCAGTTTCAAAAGTAATAAAGAGTTCTTTATTCACTGAACTCCATTCTCTATAGGATAGATGAGAGACAGGGATACAGTCTATTCCAACTTCCAGGATGGATGCAGATGGAGGTTGCATCCATGGTGCCAAAGATGGAGAGCAAACGTGCTTCTTCTTTGTGTGTGTGTGAGAGAGAGAGAAGTCTGAACGGAAGGAAGCAATTCCCTGAGACTATCAGTCTACACGTCAAAGGGACAGAGGCAGAAGAGTATACAGGAAGGAAACTCAGTTTGCCTATCTATTTGACTCTCTCGTAACCCCCCTCTGGAGGCTGAAGCTAAGAGAGAGTGTCTGGTCCTTCTCTTCCAACACAGAGCATGTGGTTGGCCACCATTGATCTGATCCAGCAGGGCTCTTAA